TATGTAACCGGCACATCTGGTTTATAATGTATATTAATCCCTGACATGTAATTTGAGTAATATATGTAAAGTAAAAAGTCCAAGTGCTGATTTAGGAGACTTATTATTACCCTGTCAGCAGAATTCATGTTCTATTTGCACAGCGCTCGGGGCCCAGCATCTCATCTAGGGCAGCAGGAAGGAGAAGTCTTTCTGACGGATGCCAGTTGATGGTGGAGGCCCCTGCTGATGCGGATGGGACATCAGTCAAGTGCTTAGAGCCCCTAGTAGGGTTGGCAGGAACTCATCTTGGCAAAGAGGACCGTGGAAGTAGACCAAGTTCTAGTTTGGTCTAGGGACAAATCCATCCCCACCCCTCAAAGAAGTCTAGAAAACTGTGGGCTTTGGGTTTCAAAGCCTGCTCTGCCACTTCCTTGCCATGTGACTTTGGACAAGTTGCTTCAGGTCTCTCAGCCTCGATTTCCCCATCTATAAATGGGAATCATAATAGACCTGTTGTGTGGGTTAAATACAAATAAAAAACAATAATGACAAAAAACTAACCAGCTACTGAGCATTTACTATGGACCAGTAGTATTCCAAGTGTTTTACGTATCTCATTGAATCAATCCTCAGAGCAACCTCATGATGTAGATACTTATTATGACCCCCAATTTACAGTTAAAGAAAATGAGGCACAGAGAAGCGAAGTAACTGAGATGCTTCAGCAGACTGCTATATTTTATGGGAAGCACTCAGTAAAAGGTAATTCTCCAGGTGATCAATGTCCAGTAGAACTTTCTGTGATGATGGAAATTTTTTGTGATTCTGTGCTGTCCAATACAGTAGCCAACAAGCCACAGATGGCTATTGAGCATTTGAAATGTGGCTAGATGAAATAAGGATTTGATTTTTTAATTTAATTTAATTTATAGTCACTTGTGGCTTGTTGTTACTGTATTACACATTCACTCTCACCCCTCCTGGAGGGAATTAGTTCCTTTATATTTGTTAGGCTAGACCTTAGAGAGAGAGGTCAATGGCCAGTCTAATAGTGCTCCAGTAATAGGGTTGCATGAGCTGAACAAGGAGGGTGATGGTTCATCCCTTTGTGTTGCCAGTTAGAACGTGTTCTAGCATTCAAGAACACTGTCCCTTTAATGTGAGTGGGGCCTTGCTCTGGCTGGTGTGGCTCAGTGGATTGAGTGCCGGCCTATGAACTAAAAGGTCGCAGGTCTGATTCCCAACCATAGCACATGCCTGGGTTGTGGGCCAGGTCCCCCCTTGGGGGCGTGCGAGAAGCAACTGATCAATGTATCTCTTGCACATACATGTTTCTCTCCTTTTCTTTCTCCCTCCTTTTTCCTCTCTAAAAATAAATAAGTAAAATCTTAAAAAAATAAAACACAAGTGGGGCCTCAAGATCCCAAGCCTTTGGCAGTGGGCTCCAGGATCCAAGCCACTGTCTCAGTCAATGAGATCATAAGACAGACATGGTCCCTATGATCCTGGAACTGGCAGCGTAGTTGGGGAAAAGGATATTAAACAAGTGGCCACTCAATTAAAGTCACACCTGAGTATACGCCAATGTCATAAGTAAAATAGCAGTTAGAGAAAGGGCCTTGGAAGCCCTCAATAGAGAGCATTAATTGTGAATGGGGCTTTAGGTGTTGGGTTGGTCAGAACAGCATCCAGAAAGGAGAACTTACTATTGTAGGCAAATGGAACCTAATCTCATTGAGGAACTCTATGAGGCAATTAAGAATGGCCCTCAGAGTTATCCCATATGAGGGGTGAGGACATTGGGGTCACCATCAACACTCTATTGGTCATTGGTTGAAGTATATTTCTGTGGGCATCACAGTACCAGTACTTTTGCCTTGTCCGGTCCATGAGCCAGGTATGCTCCTGTGGCGAAGTCTGTTGGGTCATAGTTGCAGTTACCAGCCTTGGTGCATGGGTTGAGTGCTGAAGAGTATTGACCTTAAACAAATAGATGGCCAGATATATACCTAGCAAAATGGGTTTATTCAGGAACAACAAAGAATCACAATTCGGACATGTGGTTTAATGGTAGAACTCGAGCAAAATGAGAAACAAAGGAAGAACATCCTCTTTTATGGACTCTGGAGGGGCTGTTTAAAGTGAGAGTCCTTTGGAGGAAATTGAAAGTTCAAAGTATAATGACCTTTCATTGACTGAATTATGGTAATCTCCCATTGGCTGAGCTGTTACTGGGTGAGGAGGAATCTTTCCTTCTTTCTGCTAAAGCAGTAAAGTATTATCACTTCCTATCATAGATGCAAGGTATGTCTCTTCCTGTTGGAGTCAGTTCTTTTAACCTCCCTACTCCATTTTATTTTTTTTTTATTTTTACTTTGAAGAAGTGCGTTAAAATTACTTTATTGTTGTTCAATTACAGTTGTCTGCATTTTCTCCCCATTCCGCCCCCTACTCCAGCCAAACCCACCTCCCTCCCTTGCTTCCACCCTCCCCTTTGGTTTTATCCATGTGTCCTTTATAGTAGTTCCATTTTAAATGATGTTTCTGTTATTTAATTTTGCAGGAGATATGGGTGGGACTCTGGCCTATGGCTACAGATGGGTTTTCCTTCAGGGGTGTCCAACCTATGGCCCGTGGGCTGCATGCAGCCCTGGATGGCTATGAATGCGGCCCAACACAAAATTGTAAATTTACTTAAAACCTTTTTATTGCTCATCAGTTTTCATCAGTGTTTGTGTATTTAATATGTGGCCCAACACAACTCTTTTTCTTCCAGTGTGGCTCAGTGACACCAAAAGTTTGTGAGATACTTGTATGGTATCTTGGGGTTTCCCTACCTTACTATTGTCTTGGTGGGGAGGGGAGAGTGGTCCATATTTAGGGACACATGCTTCCCCCAGCCGTGGTAGGTAACAGAGGGCAATATAAGGATTCATATGTAGGCTGGCTGACACCCAGAAACCATCTTGAGTGCAGGAAGGTGTGGGGGTGGTACAGAAACATGAAACCTTTACTCAAAAGATGCTACAGGCATACCAGTGAGATACTGGATTTGGTTCTGGGCCACTTCAATAAAGTGAAGATTGCAATAAAATGACTCACATGAATTTTTTTTGGTTTCTAGTGTATATAAAAGTTATGTTTACACTATACTGTAGTCTATCAAGTATGCAATAGCATCATGTCTAAAAAAAGTACATACCTTCATTTAAAAATATTCTATTGCTAAAAAAACTCTAGACATCATCTGAGCCTTCAGTGGGTTGTAGTTTTTTCACTGGTAGAGGATCTTGCCACATTGCTGATGAAAACACAATTATCTGTGAAGTGCAATAAAGTGAAGTGCAATAAAATGAGGTATGCCTGCACTTACCTAAGTGAGACCACTTTAAACCAGAAGAGACTAAGTTACTGTTAATTAGTTATGTATATTTTTCTTAATAATAGATAGGGAAGGCACAAGAGAAAAACTGTCAATTATACAAAATAAAGAACCTATCCTTTTTTTGTGTCTATGAGTTGTGGAGGTTAGATAGATTTCAATTCTATCACAAATAAAATCTCCGTGAAGACAGGGCTGTTACCTGTTTTGATCAATGCTATATTGCAGCTCACAGCACTATGCTGGGCACAGAAAGAGATGCTGAATAAATATTTGTTAGATGAATCTATGCTCTGTATTTGCCTGAGTGACCCTTTCCCTTCCCAGATCCAAGCCATTTAATTTCAATTACTTTATTGCAGCTTCACCCGAAGCTGGTTGAATAACAGGAGTGCTATTATTTTCTGTCAAACAATTAAGTGTTTTAGTAGAGAGTCAGGGTGTGAGGGGCTGCTCTCTGTGCCCCACACAATCCCTGCTGGACTCCTAGAAAATGGTGAGGCTGTCAGAACACTGGCTGGCAACTGAAGGGCTACAAGTGTCCCTTCAATTTAATGCCCTCTTAATTAGTATAATGGCTGGGTTTTCCCTCACTGCCACTTGACTCATTGCTTTCTCCAAGGCTCATTAAGATCAGGGATGAACAGCACTCCTCTGACCCCTTATATCCCAATCATGGAATAGAGCTGGATCCTAGGCCCAGCAATGTCCCTTTCTAGTTGGACGACCTTGGGTGAGTCATGTTCTCTCTCTGAGCCTCAGATTCTTCATCTAGATGGCACAGTGGCCTTGAGAATGGCTCTAGGCTTTACTCTCTGCATAGCCTCTCCTGACAGTACAAATATGTGACTTTTCAACACTGCAGGCCACCTCTTTACCTACAAGGATTCCCTTAATGATGTGGGTGTGGAGTCAGCCAAACCTGTGTCTGAATCCTGGATTCAAATTCATCACCTTTTCTTGGCTGTGTGGCTTTAGACAAGTCACTTAACAACTATGAGTTGCACTCTTTTAAAAAAAATTAAATGTATACACAAACACACATCCCGAGATACCAAGTGTTGTCCTAAGACTGCTGAGTTTGAATCATGGATCTGCTGCTTGCTAACTGTATGACCTTGGGCAAGTCACTTAACCTCTGATGTTCAGTTTCCTCATCTGTTAAGTGGGAGTAATAATAGCATTTTCTTTCAGGGTTGCTGTATGGAGTAAGTAAATTAATAAAAGCGAAACATTTTGAACTGCATCAGGAACGTGGCAAGTGCCAATAAATATTTGCTGTTATAGATACTGATCTCACTGAAACTTTACAACCCACTCTAAGAAGAAGTCTGGCTTTCCTCACTTCTAAACTGAAGGTAATAGTACCCACAGCATAGGGTAGTTATGATTATGTCAAGTGGCATAGGCAAAATAACAATAGCCAATATTTATTGAGTACTATAATGAACCAGATATTATGCTGTCTGAGTCAGAAATACGATTGGCAGCAAGAAGCAAAAATTAATAGTTACAGTGGCACAAATATAAGAGGTTTTATCTCACATAAAAAGTCTGGAGGAATCTAGGCTCTGTCTTTCCGCTGTACCATTCTTATCAAGTCACTATTTGTTCTCAAGATTTCAAGATGGCTGCTGTGCCTCTGTGCATCACATCTCTGTTCCAGGCAGAACACAGGGGTAATTGCAAAGGCTGATGAATTCCAATTGAGCCTGTTTCTTTAAAAAACTTTTTTGGTTAAGTAACTAAGCAACTTCCACTTGCATATCATTGGCCAGAACTCTATCACCTGCTAGGCAACCTAGGAAATCAAGCCAGCCTTCATGGCAAAGAAGACTAAACAATTTGATGGTAGCCAAAACGCATAGACAAATAAGTGACAAGACTAATACCACGAAGGAAGTGAACAAGAGGCCAAACTAGAGAACATCTTTAGGTGGGGTGTTCAGTGAAAGCCTCTTCCAGGAGGATATTTAGGTAGTGAGACCTGAGGCATAAGAAGGAAAAGAGGTGGGGAAAGAACGTTCCTGGATTTGGTGTCACCGTCTTTTTTTTTTTTTTTCCTTTTGAAGAAAGACACGGAGGTCATCAAACAACACAAGTGGAGCTATAACTGCTGTTCAGGCAGAGCCAAGGTTCAATTCAAGCTCTGTCCGGCTCTTGGGAATCCGGGCTCTTAGGCTGCAGGTTCTGGGGAAGCGATGTGAAAAATACAATCACCATATCACATGTAGGACAACGCATGGAGAATTTGGACAATTCCCAACCTCCAGGGAAGTCTACAGCTGAGGACTGAAATACAACGGGCTTCTAGTGCTCTTGGAAGACCTCTCTGTGCCATGGAGACTGTAACACTGATTTTGGTGACGGTTTCCGAATGGAGCAATAGTCAGGACGGAGGAGGGCACCACCCAGATCAAATTATAAAACATTTTCTGCACCCCAGAAAGGTAAATGTACTTGATATAGCCTTTTTTTTTGTGGGGATGGCACCAACCCCCAGACCCACCCTCAGGGCGGCCTCTCCACCGAATGCCCAGGCTAGGCAGCAAGGAGCGATCCTCCCCGACTGTGCACCTGGTTCCTTGAAAGTGAGAAAACCTGGTGCTACTGCCTACTAGGTCTCTTCCGCATCCCTCGGGCACCGCCCCCCGCGAATTTGTTTAGGCCCCACCCACCCCGGCACACCCCGGCACCCACCCCGGCACCACCCTCGCAGTACCCCCTTGGGTTACACCTCTTTCCGGCTCCTCCCCAGAGTGGCCACCTTCGGAGACCCTGCTCCCTTCCAGGCTTCCCCTCCATCCCAAACTCGCCGGAGCTCCCTTCCACCTTTGACTCCTCCTTTGGGCTCGGCCTCTCTTTAGCCCCACCCACAGCCCCTCTTTTCAAATACAGTCCTGGCCCCTACGCTGTCTTCCATACTTGCCTCGTGGTCCTCTCTTCTCCGGTACCGTCACCCTCTCAGTCCCCGCCCACCTTCGGCTCCATAATGGTGCAAGCGACTCTCTCTTCCCGCCCTGAGCTCCGCCTCCGCAGGCTCCCACCTCATCCTTCTTCCAGTTGGGCCCCGCCCCGGCCCCTCCTTCCTCCTCTCCCCGCCGAAGCTCTGGACCTTTCTGAAACCAAACTGAGGGGTTGGTGAGAGGCCACGCGCCTGGGAAGCCGGCTGTGTCCAGGCGGATCTGCGGACTCCCGGCGTTTGTGTCACCCTGTCCTTTCCTAGAGACAGAGGCAGGGAAGAGGGAGAGCCCGGGGTCAGGACCAGAGCGGCAGGCGGGGCCGAGTTGAGGGCAGCCGCTCCGGGCTCCCCCACCCCCGCGCGCCTCAGTGGTACCGGCCAAGGGAAGGACTCGCAGCTGCGGGGCTCGCGCCGCTGTCAGTGCGGCTGGGCGCGCGAGCGGCGCGGGCGCTGGGCGGGCAGACCTAAGAGAAGCCGAAGGGGCGGTAGCGACAGCGGGGGCTACTCCCCCCTCCCACCCTCCCGCGTGTGCCCAGCTCCTGTCGCCGCGGCCGGGTCCGCCCTCTTCCTCCCTTCCGCCCCCGAGTGCGGCGGCACCGCCTTCTTCTGCGCCGCGCGGCTTCTTCTAGACCTCTTGGCGCGGGTGAGTGGGAGCCGCGGGTATCTCCTTAGGGGTGTGTGTGGGGGTGTTCCTTGTTCCTTTTTGGTCACCCACTTCTTCGCGCGGGCCGCTGCCTATTTTTAGAAACTCTTTTTTCGGCCATTCTGGGAGTCCCGCGAGCCAGACCAACTCCCGGCGCCTCCCCCCGCCAAACCTACCCCCACTCCGGCCCGCCGCCCTGGGTCGTCTGCCCAGCCCATGCCCATCCAAGCTCGTTCCTGGCCGCTCTGGCGTCTCCTGTCTGCTTTCTCCCTGCGGGCCCGGTCTCCGTCCGGAGTTGGCGGGGTGGGCCCGCGCCCGCTCGGAAGTTGGAGTCTTTTGTGCTCGCGCCCCGCCCCGCGAGGGGAGGAGTGGGATGGGAGGCCGCGCGGGGGAGGCCTCGGGCGGGCCCGGCCCTGGCTCTGGTCCTGGCTCCAGGCTTCTTTCGGCTTTCCCTCCGGAGCTGGGTCTGCGGGCTCCGGGAGGCGTGTAAAACTGATCCTGCTTCGCTCCTCACGGGCCTGAGCGCCTCCTCGGCCCCCACTTATGCGGCTCCCGGGCTTGTTGCACACTTGGGCTTGGAGAGGATCAACAACAGGCCCTCGACCTGGGGCGATGTTCCGCACCTGATTAAGCCCCCTACGCAGCCCAGCCTCAGTGTGCCCCTCCGTGAAATGGAGGAAAAAAAGAAAGTCGCCTCGAAGGGTATTTGTAGATTCAGGGAGGGAAACTAATGTGTGAGAGAAGTGTTTAATACCAACAGGTAAAATTTAATGGACTTGACTCAGGAACTTCGTAAGTCGTATTTCATTTGTTACCCACGGCGGCCGTCTGGGGTTATCACCATTTACACAAGCAGAAATCGAGGCGCAGAGAGGTTAAAGAATTTGCTTCAAATCAGTTAGTAGCTACAGAAGTGTAAAGCCGTGGTGCTAGTACCTGTTGTTTGTTAGTGTGAGCTTCTGTAATCTCTTTGTGCAGAAGAGATTTGATTTAATCCTTGGGTCATCGTTAGGGGGTCATCCTTGGGTAACTCCGTTCTCCTTGGCGCCTGCGCTAGTGTCCACTATACTGTGGATGAAATCCCAGTGGGGGCTACTGAAGGTCCAAGGGAAAGCATGTGACTATGAATTTTTTGCTAGTATTGCCCATTAGAAGTCGATGGATACAGGAGACTCCAGATCTCAAACACTGAAGTTCCCTGGGGTTTTGGCTCGAAGAAAGCTTAAGTCAATTTATTTTATTATTATTATTTTAAAATTGTATTGATTAGAGAGAGGGGAAAGGAGAGAGAAGGAGAGGAATAGAAACATCAATGTGTGAGAGAAACGATCAGCTGCCTCTCACACGCCCCCAACTGGGGAGCTGGCCCACAATCCAGACATGTACCTTGACTGGGAATCTAACAGGCGCTGGGGACCCCTCGGTTCACAGGTGGGTGCTCAATCTCCTGGGCCACACTAGTCAGAGCAGAAAGGTTACATCATTTTAAACAGTGAGGTCCAACCTTTATTTTGTTTATGGCAAGATTCCTGAAATCTTGCATGGTCTCCACAGTGTTTAGATGTAAAGCTTAGTTGGGGGAGGGGGAGCAGGAAGTGGCTTAAGTCAACTGCTTCAGCTCGCTCCCTTCAAATAGGGTTTTATTTCTATTTTCAGATGAGGCCCAGAGGGGTAAAAGTGAACTAAAATTAACTTTGGCAGGTGTTCTATTTTTTTTTTCAATGCGTTCGATCCCCTGTGTGGGGAGTATCTAAAATTTAGGCAGGGGAGTTTCTAGGCCAGGTCTTGAGGAGTCTCCTGACATTTGCATTAGTTCTTTGGAGTCTGGAGGTCTGCTGTGCTCACCATTTTACCAGATTCTGGATTTAGAAGTTGCAGTATGTAGGAGTTGGAAGGGGCCTTACAGGTCCTCTGCTCCCATTTTTTAATCTGCCCTACCCCCTTACCCTTTTTAAAAAAATAGATTTTAGGAAAGGGTGGCGGGGGAAAAAATAGATTTTATTAATTTATTTTTAGAGAGAGGGGAAGGGAGGGAAAAAGAGGGAAAGAAACATCAATGTGCTTGAGAGACATTGATCACTTGCCTCTTGCACTCCCCAAATGTGGACTTGGACCTGGCTGGAAACCCAGGAATGTGCCCTGACTGGGAATCGAACTGGCGACCTTTTGGTTTGCAGGCTGGCACTCAGTCCACTGGGCCACATCAGCCAGGTCTCCCTTACCTTTTAACTGAATTTGGAAAGGGGAAGTAAGTCTAGATCCACAGATTGCCTTACTGACAGATTCAGAACTAGAATTCCCAGTCTTCTGCTGCTTAGTCTGGTAGTATTTTTATTTCTGTCATACCTTGCCATCTTTTGAAAGGGCACCAAATTACTTATGCAAGCCTTAAGACCAGGAATCCTGACTAAATTGAAATTACAAGGATGTTGCTTAGTCCCAGCCATACTCCATGTCTCAGGCTTAGCATTAGGAGGAGGCCAGGTTTTTGTGCACAGATATGCTAGTTCTCATAAATCACCAGTTTAACTGTACAGTACTTCATAGTACTCTTCTGCAACCATTATCTGATTTCATTTCTAATTCAGTCCTGTGAGGGAGTTAGTTTTTACAACTGTTGTTGAGAATTGAGAACACAGCAAGGTAAGGGCACCTGCCTTACTTAGATCACCAAGTTAATAAGTGGAAAGGACAGAGCACCTCTCCTGGGCAGAGGATTTGGTGTAAAATCATGAACTACCAGTAAGCCTCTCATTGTGCCTGTCTGAGCCTCAATTTCCTTATCTGTGAACTCTCACAGGGTTTCGTAGGGACCATGAAAAATGGCTATGAAAGTGCATTGTAGTAGTTGTGAGAGTAGGAATAATAGCTAATATTTACTAAGTACTTATCATGTGCCAGTCACTGGACTAAGGACTTTCTGTGGAGCATCTCATTTAGTCCTTAGAGGAACTGTGTGAATTAGGTATTATTATTATTATCCCTGCTTTACTGAAGAAGAAACAGGCTTAGAGAGGTCACACGACTTTCTCAGGGTTATGTAGTTGATAAGTGTAGACAGTATAACTATAAAGCTGGTGTGCTTTATTGTGAAAATATACATAGGACAAAATTTACCATTTTAAAATGTGCAGTTCTGTGGCATTAAGTACATTTGCATTGTAGTGCAACCATCACCACCATCCATCTAGAATTTTTTGTCTTCCCCAATTGAAATGGTATCCATTAAGCATTAATTCCCTATTCTTCTCCCCCCCGCCCCTGGCAATCACCATTCTATTTTCTGTGTTTATGAATTTGACTGCTTGAGTACCTCATATAAGTACAATCATACAGTATTTGTCCTTTTGTGATTGGCAAAGCTGGTGCTCTTAGTGTTTCCCTTAACCTCAGGGTGTAATGTAAATGCAAAATGATTATTAGTGTAAATCTGCATTAGAGTGTGGTGTGCAGCTCCAGAGGAGGAACCCAGGCCTAGTGGTACTTCTGGTTTAGCTTCCTTCTCCCTTTCTGGATTGAAGTTCATTATTACTGAAGCCTTTTTTGAGATCTTTACTCACCCCTTCTGTGTCTTCCAAAGATACCTCCTACCCTTGAAATAGAACCAAGAAGACTTTCTAACCTTGCTTTGTTTGCACCTGCCTTTCTGACTATCAAAGTTTTGGGCATATGGGGCTGCAGTGATCATGAATAGCAGTGCTCGGTTCAGAACTACTCAGAGGACGATTAAATGGTCCTTTGTGAAATGCACCCTCTTTGTGCTCTCTCTTTCCATAAAGGCTCACAAGAAGGACTAGCTTTTTGGTTTCTAGAGGGTGTTTATGGAACCTTGTTGTTTGCAGCTGGTTAAGATGGAGTTATATGGCATATTTAGCCTCTCAAAATTCCATGTTTCCATGTCTGTGTAGTTGGGTGGGGTGCAGTGTTTATGTTTGTGAAGGGTAGTTGGAATTTTGTCCTGATACCAACAGAGTTGGATGGGAGGTATTCTAGAGATGGGTAAATAGGGCAACAAACAGATCTGAGCTTGTTACGCTTTCCTTAAAAAATCTGATGGCTCGGCATTTCCTACATATTAAAGTCCAAACCACAGTATGGTACTGAGGTCAGAGTGTGCTGAATTGTTTATTGGATAGAATCTTGTAGTTTGGGAGCTTTAAAGTCATGTAGACCAGCCAGCCAGCTGGCCACCATTTGAATTGGCTACCTGTTGAGATTCTCTTTCATTGGGCATCTCATTATTGGAAAATTTTCCATTTACTGAACAATTATTAAGCATGCCACACATGGTACTAAGCTTGGGTATTGGGTATATAGCCTGGTGGGGAAGACAGGCAAGGAAACAGGCAGTGTGAGAGGCATTGTGACAGACAGCGTGAAAGCACGGAGGAATGGTAACTAACTCAGTGTCGGAGGGTGGGAAGCCTTTCCCAGAGAAGTTGGCTAACCCTAGACCTCAGGAAAAAAAGAAGTGGGGAGTCATTGAGGAGACATAAGACTATATATTCTAGGCAGAAGGAATAGCAAGTCTAGAGATGGTGGTGGTAATAGGTAAGACTTGTGGCCCTTTTCCTATATCTACCAGGTACTATTCCAAGCATTTAACATGTAGTTAACTAATTTCTTCCCATACCTTCAGAGATATCTATTATTATTTTCATTCTATAGGCAAAGAAACAGCCCTTTGGGTTAAATCAGTTTCTCAAGATTCCTTGGTGGAGCATAAAAGCATGAAACGGTGGATGTGGCAAAAGATGAGACCGGCATGATAGGCAGAATAGAGGCAAAGTCATGAAAGGGCCTTGTCTGGGTTGAAGAGTTTGGACTTCATTTCAAGGTGAAGGGGTCTATGATCCTCTGCATTTTAGAAAGATAACTCTAGCTACCTATTTGGGGAGTGGATTTGAGGGCTAGAGCACCATAGTCAAAGAGACCAGTTAGGAGGCTGATGCAGTAATGGCAGACAAGAGGTGATGGTGTTTCAAATGAAGATCATGGGTGTGTGTGAAGGGGGTGGGAGGTGTAGGGGGAAAATGGAATTGAGCAGTGAGAATCAAAGATTTTTGGTATGGTGAGTAAGGAAGAAATCAAGGATGACTTCTAGATTTCTGCTTGGTGCAGTTATATAGATAGGGATGCCATTTATTGAGGTGAGGACACAGGAGCAGGAGCACATAAGAGAGGAGAGGTTTTTCATGCAGGGTCTTCCGATCCTAGTTCTTTTTGGGAGGATGGGGGGAACAGGAGTGAGGGAAGAGTATGGCATGGCAAATCTGGCAGTTACCCTTGGGTAAACGCTCTGGATAAACAAACGATGATGTAAACACTAGCTCTGGAAGAGAAGAAACGTTAGATTCTAGACATTCAGGCCTTGCGCAGCTCTGAAGACTGCTAATGTTGAAGCCAAGGAAACCCTACATTTTCTGCAGACAGTTTCCTTTGGCACTGCTCTCCATGAACTAGCATGCTCCCCCCTAAGTCAACTCTGCTGACCCTCTGCTAGGCACTGGGAAAACAAAAATGAGTAAAACATACCTTGGGGAGCTCACATCCAGAAGGGTAGCAGATCTCAGGAGCTTAGATACAGTGGTGGTGGGAAAGAGTGAGGTGGGCAGGTCAGGGTGGGACAGGATGGGAAAGGAAGGGGGGCGGTTTATTAGGGACAGGAGTCAGGAGATCCTGCTTTGTGCTCCAGTCTTGTCAGATGGCAAAGGTTCAGGCTTATTCATCTGAATAATGATAGAAAATAATGATGAGATGACTCCAAGGGTCCCTTCTAGCAATAACATTTTATAATTCTAGATCTAGATGATGATTTAGACAGAATGTCCCTTGCAGGGGAGGTATTTTCTTTCTTTCCCTCTATCTTACTCTCCCCTTCTATTTCCCTCCCTTCTTCCTTTTTTTTCTTAGGCAATGGTGGAGGGGTAGAGTTGGAAATAGGAGAGTTTTCCTGTGAGTGTCTATAAAAACCTAGTTTATTCAATTTTAGGTTCATGTATAAAATGTACAGCTGAAGGAGACAAGATGATAACAGTAATGTTGGCCTGCTGTCCTACAACCGCTCCCTGTATATTTTAAGGAAAGTTTCAGATCTGTGATGGGGTATAAGAGGGGCAGTGAGATAAATTGTGAGCCTAGTCATGACCTGAGGATCATTTGATCTGGTCCATGCTGTTAACTCAGTGTGTGGGCTTGACAAAGCCCTTTTTCTCCTTTGGCCTGTTTCTTCATTAAGTGTAATCTGGGAGGTCCCTGAAATTCTATAACGGCCCGGTGCTGAGGGGCTGGGGACAGAAAAGGATTGGAGGTTTCTTGAACTTGGTTGGAGTTTCTAGTCACTTTACCCTCCTCACTTGTGGAGAACTAGAATCAGACAGTTTCCAAGTGTCATCATTAGTTATCTTCTCTGTTTCTGTTGCCCTTCTTTTTCCCTCTGAATGTTAGTGTCTTTCTGTCACTTCATAATGGCCTTCATGTGAATAAATGTGCTGTACCTCCTGGGAGGAGGGGAGGAAGGATGGGATATTATCCCTGTGTTCTAGTCTATATCCCCAAAGAGCCATTTAGGCCATCCACTGCCTCTTGTTCTCTATGCTGGGGTAGGGGTGGGCAGTTTGTAGTTGAATACTCAGGTTTTTGGAGTCCCAGAGACATCTGTTTGGAGTGCTTCACTGGCTAAGGTGCAAATCTGGCCATCTTCCCAACATGGCTGGTGCAGTTCCACTAGGGGAAATAGCAGTAAGTGGGTTTTTGATGCTTGCCAAACTCACATTAACTGTAATTACCTAATACTCTCTGGGATCTCAGTCTTCCTGTCTGTAAAACAAGGGGGTTGGGCTAGATAATCTTGAATGATACTTTTATCTCTTAGCAGTCCGAATTTCTGGTTTTGTGTAAGAGGCTTAAGAGTTCATCTTTGGAAGGAGAAAGGGCTTTTCTAGAGCATTGGAAGTCTCTCAGAGGGTTAAATCCTGGGTTCACCAGATACTTTCTGGTACATCAACAAATGGATATTGCTTTTGAGAATGGGCAGATTGCTGAAAAATTGCTTGTGAGATGAATTTATCAAATTGTCTGCTGAGTTCCATTATAAACTTGAAGCTGTTGTCCCATGGGACAAACTTGGAGTCCAAGATGGTAAAAAAAGTTACATTTAAATATGTATCAAACTGTTTCAAGTCATATGATATTGCCCTGGCTGGTGTGGCTCAGTGGATTGAGTGTTGGCCTGTGAACCAAAAGGTGGGCTGGTTTGATTTGAAGTCAGGGCACATGCCTGGGTTGTGTGGGCCAGGTCCCCAGTTGGGGGCATGTGAGAGGTGACAGATCGATGTATCTCATACATTGATGGTTCTCTTCCTCTCTTTCTTCCTCCCTCCCCCTCTCTCTAAAAGTAAATAAATAAATCTTTTAAACTATCATATGATAAGGGGAAAATTTAAAAAATTAGTATGAGATTCCCAAATAGTACTAGAACTCAAAAAATGCTAGACCAGAAGTTTGCATTTCCTTAGAGTTTTAGCTTTATGAGGTAGATACCTCTACTGAGGTTACCTGGCCCTTAAAATACCATCTGTAGTGACTGAATTCTAGTTGTGTTTGTCAAGGTAAGAATCATTGCTTTATTCCAAGTAAGTATTCTCTTTTAGAAAGCCAGGTTTAGAAACTTCATGTCATTGGCTAGATTTTCTCCATTCCAGAGGCATTTATCTGGTATTTAGCTGTCTCCTGTTTCTTTGATTTAATAAGGATTTTACTAAGCCTAGTTAAAGGTGCTGTTCATATGGTGTCTGTTGATCTGTTTGTGTAGTTTCCTTTGTAATTCTTTGTGCTAGTGAGAAAGCAAGCTCAGCAGTAGATTTAAAAGAATAATTTCCATAACTGGTTATTTCTCCAGGTCTGGGTTTTCTTTCTGGAAGGTATGATTATGCTGCACTGAGAAGTCAAATGTTGTTCCCTGCTTACATAGACCATTTTAAAGCTTTGGGACTTTGTTCTTGCAGATAGCTGTACGCTGGCACTGAGGAACAGTGCTGTCAATATAATAATGATAGCTGTGCCTGAATCAGTTGAACACAAGAATATCTTTTGTCCAGACCTTAAAGACTCACCCTAAATTGATTTTCACATCAATTAAAATCAATTCTTACTGAAATTAGGGTTTTAGGTAGAGTTACCATGCTAAGTAGGTTGCCTAGCTGTTGTAATATGATTATGCTTGGAAATTGAACTGCTTTCCAGTCCCAAGCTGAACCATTCATACCAGGAATTTAGAGTACCTACTATGTGTTCTTTTTATGGAGAATATAAAAACTAAGCAAGATGTGATTCCTGGCCAGAAATTGTCTTCAGTCTTGAGAGGGAAACAGGTAGTACAAAGTTAACCCTGCTGCCCTGGCTTTCCCTCCCTCTTTCCCTTCTGCCTGTTACCCAAATATTTATCCTCTGTTGCTGAGATGTGCAACACCCAGTGTGTAAAGTCAGGAACGTCAGGGTAGGGGACAACATTCAGGTCCCCTTCAGGTTCGGATGTCCAGACATCTGCCTAGTGCTTTCACTATTCTCCTATCAGTTCTCTGGCTGACTTTCAGAAAAATTTGACGTTGTCTAGTTTCTTATTTAGGAATGAAGGACATTTCAAGTTTTATATTAAGTCATTTTAAGTTTTGTTACATTCAGTTTTGAAGTAAACTAGCTCTCTGTTTGCTTGCAAATAGAATTATTTGAGGTATGCTTTCTGGCATTTGATCAATTTGTGGCTTACCGTGGTTCTTGAAGCCCATTGCCACTGTCTCTGCCAGCTGCCTTCGAATACTTTGCAGTGTGGAGCCCTAGGAAATTGAGGGAACCTTGAGTTTCCTCTGATCTTGAAAGGCTCTTCCTCTTTCCTTGTCCCTACCCTCAAAAAAGACGTTAATTTGGGATGCTGTGTTGTGTTCATGTTTTCTTTCAACAATTTAGCATTTTCTGTGAGATCTAGTAAAGAGGAAATATGCCTATGTTGGTCCTCAGAGGTTAGGGACAGTACTGAAATCAGCTGGCCAAACTGTATGGAGCCTACTGAGCGCTTTCTTTTGTGCTGTGAATGGTATAAATGTCTTAAGCATACTCTTGCCTTCAGGGAACCAACCTGTGGACTTCTTTGAGGAGATTAGATAATCATGAAGATGTGGCTAATAGTAAGGTATTTTTGTGTAGAGAGCTTGATTCAGAAGCCTAAGGTCTACTCTTGTTCCCTGGAACTAATTTGGCCAGGTAAACTGGATTTTCTCATCTAAAAATGGGGTTCATGTTCTATATCTTGTCGTCTTCACAGTGTTATTGTGAGGAGCAAGTTAGATAAGGTTATGAGCACTAATTTATAAAATCAGATGAGATGTAACTTTTTAAAATTTAATCTTTTATTGTATTTCTTTTCCACTACCATTTAGTTCCTTTATACCTCCTGCCCCCAGCAATCACCACACTGTTTTCCATGTCCACGAGTCCTTTTTGCTTAGTCCCTCCGCCCCTAAGTCTGCCCTGCCCTCTCCCCCGACTAGCCATCATCTGTTCTCCATCTATGAGTCTGTCTTCTGTTTTGCTTGGTAGTTCAGTTTGTTCATTAGACTCTTCATATGAATGAAATCATATGGTATTTGTCTTTCTCTGACTGGCTTATTTCATTTGTATGATGTTCTCCAGGTCCATCCATCTGTTACAGAGGGTGACATTTTCTTCTTTTTAACTGGCAAGTAGAATTCCATTGTGTAAATGTCCCATAGTTGTTTTGTCCATTCATCTATTGATGGACACTTGGGCTACTTCCATATCTTAGCGATTGTAAATAACACTGCAGTGAATGTAGGAGTGCTTGTGTTCTTTTGATTAGTGTTGTGGGTTCCTTCAAATATATTCCCAGAAGTGGGGTAACTGGGTGAAAAGGCAGATCCATTTTTAATTATTTTGAGGTATTGCCATACTGCTTTCCACAGTGGCTGCACCAATCTCCATTCCCACCAACAGTGCAAAAGTGTTCCCCTTTCTCCACATCCTTGCCAGTACTTGTTTGTTGATTTATTGATGATAGCCATTCTGACAGGTGTGAGAAGGTATCTCATTGTGGTTTTAATTTGCATTTCTGATGATTAGTAACATTGAGCATCTTTTCATATGTTTCTTAGCCATCTGTATGTCCTCTTTGGAAAAGTCTATTCAGATTTTTTATTTGGGTTGTTCATTTTTTTGGGGGTGTTGACTTTTGTAAGTTCTTTATAAATTTTGGAAATTAACCCTTTGTCAGATGTATTGATGAATATGTTCTTCCATTCTGTGGGTTGTATTTTTATTTTGTTGATGATTTCCTTTGCTGTGCAAAAACTTTTTAGTTTGATGTAGTCCCATTTGTTTATCTTTTTTTGTTTGTTTCTCTTGCTTGGGGAGATATATCCGATAAAAATTTTCTACGAGCAATATTCAAGATTTTGCTGCGTATGTTTTCTTCTAGGATTTTTATGGTTCAGGTCTCGCATTTAAATCTTTGATCCATTTTGAATTTATTCCTTTTTTTAAGATTTTATTTATTTATTTTTTAGAGAGGGAAGGAAAGGCGGGGGGGTGGGAGAGAGAGAGAGAGATCAATATGCGGTTGCTGGGGGCTGTGGTCTGCAACCCAGGCATGTGCTCTGACTGGGAATTGAACCTGCAATGATTTGGTTCGCAGCCTGTGCTCAATCCACTGAGCTACGCCAGCCAGGGCTGAATTTATTCTTGTGTGTGGTGTAAGAAGGTGGTCTAGTTTCATTTTCTGCATGTATCTGTCCAATTTTCCTAACACCATTTATTGAATAAACTATCTTTAGCCCACTTTATGTTTTGGTTTCCTCTGGTGAATATTAATTGACTATAAAGGTGTGGGCTTATTTCTGGATTCTCTATTCTGTTCCATTGATCTATATGTCTGTTTTTATACCAGTACCAGGCTATTTTAATTACCCTGGCTTTGTAGTGTAGTTTGGTATTAGGTAACATGATTCCTCCAACTTTGTTCTTCTTTCTCAGGATTGCTGTTAATATGCAGAGCCTTTAGTGATTCTATATAAATTTTGAAGTATTTGTTCTAGTTCTGTGAAATGTCATTGGAATCTTGGTAGGAGTTGTGTTGAATCTAGATTGCTTTGGGTCAGATGGACATTTTAGTGATGGTAATTCTTCCTATCCACACAGTATGGGCTTCCATTTATTTATATCTTCTTCAGTTTCTTCAGTGTCTTATAGTTTTCCATGTACAGGATTTTTATGTCCTTTCCCCCATATTTTGTACCTATCATTTGTGCTTCTTATTCCCTTTACCTTTTTCCCTATTCTCCCTGCTCCTCCTGATAACACTCCATGTGCTCTCCATTTCTATGATTCTGTTCCTGTTTTAGTTGTTTGCTTAGTTTGTTTTATTTGTTTTTTTAGGTTCAGTTGTTGATAGTTGTGAGTTTATGTCATTTTACTGTTAGTAGTTTTGATCTTCTTCTTTTTCTTAGATAAATCCCTTTAACATTTCATATGATAAGGGCTTGGTGATGATGAACTTCTTTAACTTGACCTTATCTGGAAAGCACTTTATCTGCCCTTCCATTCTAAATAATGGCTTTGCTGAATAGAGTGATCTTGGCTGTAGGTCCTTGCTTTTCATGACTTTGAATAATTCTTTCCAGACCCTTCTTGCTTGCAACATTTCTTTTGGAAAATTAGCTGATAGCATTATGGGAACTCTTGTAGCTAACTGTCTCCTTTTCTCTTGCTTCTTTAAGTTTCTCTCCTTATTGCCTTGGCTGATGTGGCTCAGTGGATTGAGTGCTGGTCTGTGAACCAAAGGGTCGCTGGTTCAATTCCCAGTCAGGACATATGCCTGGGTTGCAGGCCAGCTCCTCAATAGGGGGCACTTGAGAGGCAATCGCACACTGATGTTTATCTTCCTTGCTTTCTCCCTTCCTTCCCCTCTCTAAAATAAGTAAATAAGTTTTTTTTTTTGAAAAAGGATTATTTTTAATCTTGGGTAATGTAATTATGATGTGCCTTGGTCTGTGTGCTTCCTTGGGTCCAATTTCTTTGGGACTCTCTGAGCTTTCTGGACTTCCTGGAAATCTATTTCCTTTGCCAGATTGTGGAAGTTCTCCTTCATTTTTTCAAATAAGTTTTTAATTTCTTGCTCTTCACTCTCTCCTTCTGGCACCCCTATGATTCAGATATTTAATTGTTTAAGGTTGTCCCAGAGGTTCCTAAGCATTTCCTCATTTTTTTTGAATTTACTTCTTTATTCTATCCTGGTTGAATGCTTATTTCTTCCTTCTACTCCACATTGTTGATTTGAGTCCTGGTTTCTTTCCCTTCACTCTTGGTTCCTTGTATATTTTTCTTTATTTCACTTTGCATAGCCTTCACTTTTCCTCTTACTTTGTGACCATGCTCAACCATTTCTGAGCATCCTGATTATCAGTGTTTTGAACTCTGCATCTGATAGGTTGGCTATCTCTTTATCACTTAGTTCTGATTTTAGAGCTTTGATCTGTTCTTTCATTTGGGCCATATTTTTTTGTCTTGGTGTGCCTGCTGTGTTGTTAGGGGTGGAGCCTTATGTATTTGCCCGGGCGGGGCAACCCAGGTTGCTGCATTGTGGTGCTGTATGTGGAGTAGGAGTATGAGAAGGAACAATGCAGCTTGTCCGTCTCTCAACTGGCCCTCAGTCACTTGCTCTGCTACAAGCAAACTGGTCCTTCTGGTGCTGATTACCAGGTGGGTTGGTTTGTGTATGTTCTAGGATCCTGTGGGTGTCTCCAACGAACTCTCCTGTGAGGCTGGGAGTTTCTCCTGCTGCCTCAACCCCTCAGGTTTTTACAGCCAGAGGTTTTGAGGCTTTATTTTTCTCTCACTGGAACCCTGGGTTGTGCACTCTTTTCTCACTCCCCAGTTGTTCATCCCAATTTATACGCATGCAAATGTGGGATTGCCTGGTCCACCAGCCACCACCTGGCCATGTCCTGTCTACCTTGGCTGCCCGTCTCCACCCCTCCTACTAGTCTTAATGAATATTTTTTCTTTAACTCCTTGGTTATCAGACTTTCATACAGTTCAATTTTCTGGTAGTTCTGGCTATTTTTGTTTTTAAATTTGTTGTTGTCTTTCTTTTGGTTGTGTGAGGAGGCAAAGTGTATCTACACATGCCTCCATCTTGGCCAGAAGTCAGTTTTACTTCTTCCTTTCCAATTTGAATGCCTTTTATTTCTTCTCGGCTGATTGCTGTGGCCAGAACTTCTAGTACTATGTTGAATAAGAGAGGTGAAGACAGAATCCCTGTCTTGTTCCTGATCTTAAGGGGAACACTGGTAGTTTTTGCCCATTGAGTATGATGCTGATGGTGGGTTTGTCATATATGGCCTTTATGTATTTAGATATGTTCCCTGTATTCCCACTTTGCTAAGAGTTTTGATCATAAATGGGTGCTGGATTTTATTAAAAGCTTTCTGTTCATCTGTTGATAGGATCATGTGGTTTTTATCCTTCATTTTGTTTATGTGGTGAATCACATTGATCAATAATGAATGTTATACCAACCTTGAATTCCCGGAATAAATCCCACTTCATCATGGTGTATGATCTTTCTGATGCATTGCTGTATTTCGTTTGCTAATATATTGTTGAGGATTTTAGCATCTGTGTTCATCAGGGATATTGGCTTATAGTTTCTTTGTAGTGTCTTTATCTGGTTTTGGAATTAGGATAATGGTGGCCTTGTAAAATGAGTTTGGGAGCC